TTGAAATGGAAAGCGAATTGTACAAAATTTACTAAAACGGGAGGCAATTGACTCTGAATACATCATTGGAAGGTGCAGCTCAGAAGAGTAATAGGGTTAAACTCGTGATGCAGCCGAAAATGTACAAATTTAAATCACCGGCGCAAATACTCGTCAAAGTAGTATCACACGAACACATTCGAAAAAATTTAAAATTAATATTTGAACTTTTATAGATATAAAAAAGTAATTGTAACTAATGCAGAACTTGGAATTTTCTATTGCGCAGGCAAAAATAAAATTACAACTTTTTAGCTTGGAAAATGTTAGACGTTTATTTTGCACCTTTGTTAATGATCTGCAAAATATGCCTAATTAGAAGCTTTGATGTACTTAAGAACATATTCTAATTGCTGGATTTATTCGTTTATTTGTTTCTCATAACTTGCTTTAAATTTAAATAGATCTGAGCATCGTTTAAGGACAACTCGCCATAACATTTTTGTAGGGGATGTACTCAAATAATTGATACTTGGAACGTCTCGGTAGGCTTGTAATACCCTTAAGAGGTAACAAATAACTTCACTTTAATATTGGCACATTGGCCGAGTCGTTCTGAAGGCCTTCGCTTTAGGTCGAACTGTCCTTATTTTCTAAGTCCATCCTGCCGCCTACTTTGAAACTTCTCCTTGTGCTTCTAAAGATGACACCTCAAACACCGATTCCTCCTAGTAGGTGTGAGTCGGTGATCAGGTATTGATAAGCGGACAAATCGGTTACAGTTGTTATTGTCCCAGATGAAGTAAACACCTGTCACATTGACAAGCCTATTCACTGTTTCCACTGTTGCTATTGAAACTATTAGCCACCCGATCGGCGACAGATTACGTGGTGGTGGATGAGGAGGTCGAGCGGGATAAGGAAAAGTAGGAAGTCCAGTCGGATGTGGATATGGACGCGGAGGCAGAGCCGAACATTCTGCCTGTAAAAATGCCCTGGTGAGTGACTCATTTCGAGCAATCATTAAAATGCACGCACAGCTGGAGTGGTCTTCTAGTTCGAGGTTCTAGCATTCTTAATATGTTGTTCGACTGTCTGGTAATCTAAATAGAGGGAGAGTTATGATTAAAGGAATGATTTAAAGGAAATGATCAACTGAATTAAAATGTAATAAAATACAGCTATTCGTTGCTCAAAAATAGACCTACAAATGGATGGGTACACGTAGATGGATGACTAGTCATTTAGTAATGTAGAAAGATGGATGGTAAAGAAACGTAAATTTAGTGGTTATCTTAAATCTTTGGACCAGAGTTTACTGTTTGTTTCCCCCCTTAGTTCTCAACCTACTGACGTTAACTCTAACGTCTTTCGATAATTTTGTTATTTTTCCTTCCTTCCCCTCTCCACCTAAATCACTTTTCAAACACCCTTCTTACTTTTGTGGGCTCGACTGACCTTCCGCCACCATCTCTTCTGCCGTTCTACTGGTCCACTTGACTGAGCGGATGTCTACGCCACTTCTTTTCTTCCCGCTCCTGATGTCTTTTATCCCAATGGAACTAATTCCGTGATACACGGTGGAAGTAAGTTGTCACCTAATTTTCCCCCCATTTGAAAGCAAATCGGATGTCTGAATGCTTTTCTCGTAAATATTACTCAGGCAAATTTAATTCTAGGAGGCTTTTTGAGGCAATTTAGACTAATTTCAGTATCTAGTACTTGATATCATATTTCACCAGTCACTGGTGATAGAAATGGCATGTCAATATCAGCGAAACCACAATCGAAGAGAGGTAGATGGACAGAGCACGGAATGCCAAAAGGAGGGTTTTTGCCGAAATGCCCTATTTAGTTGATGACCTTCACATAACTGTACCACGAGCATGCAGAATATGAATAAGGTAGCATTTGCAGCTGTCTTGTAGTATTCCCTTGTTTACAAACTTTAGCACTAAGATGATACATCCCAATGTTGCAAAGTGCTGATTAGTCGATAGAATAACAGCGCTGGGGTCAAATTAGCGCTGAATACTGAGTTGGAAGAATTCTGCACTATCTTAGTTCAATTTGTCATCGACCGGATATATAACTTAGTCTTTTGGAAGCCATCTCTTACAGTTACTAATAAATGCTTTTCTGTTTATTTTAATACTTGGGAATAGCGTTATCGATATGAGAAGTGGCCTGTTTCACCCAGTGTGAGCTAGCCCTCTAACTATGCTGCCGCATCATAGGCCAAACCTGACTCTTGAAGGCGACGAACTTAACGCTCCACTCTCTCACTTGTGTTTTCGGTGGGCATAGCTTCACTTTAATTCTATTGTTTCTCCTAAAAATCCTAATGTGGAGGACTTTTATCAGTAACAAAAATGAGGGAGTGCTTCACCTTGTCTGTTGCTTTGTTCACACCTTGTGGTTCTGTTTCATACCTCAGCTTATTACAAGTTGACGTGAGCTTATCTAAAACCATTTCCTTTGACTAGCTCATTTGCAATTTGATCTACGGCATGCTGTTTTCAATTAACAAGGCAAATTGAGGTCACATTGCTAATTTACGTGTGTGATGGTCTGTAGACAAAAAGGTAGTTCACAAGTTTTATTTGTCTGCTGAAAGTCACACACTGGTTAAAGTTGAGGTCTATCCGCTTAATGCGACAAAAATTTAAGGCTTTCAGTGCCTGTCAGTGAATTGTCACACTGCAATTTA